AGAGACACCAACTTAAAAGAGTGGCAAAGGGAATATACCTGATAGGTTCAAGAGGTAGTTTTTGAAGTGCTGAGAGAACCAAATTCAAATCCCACAGATTCACAGGGGAGCTACCCTGCACAAAAGGTCTTGATCAAAGAATGTGAGGCCAGCAGTATTTCAAACAAAATCACGAGAGCAGAGGCCTACACCTTAATGGTGCAGATTGCCAAACGCTAGTCCATGCCCATCTGTAAGTCACCAAGGATTTGTTACACAGAATTTTTCTGGATTGAGATCTTTGCACTTCCCAAAATACAGAGTGTCTTCCACATATGGTTATAGATCTTGCGAGTGAAGTAGCTTTTAGTAGAATAGTAAAACAATCTGCTTTTGTTGCAGTTGACTTGTTTGGTGGGTGAAAGACTTGGAATTCCAAAGCATGTGTGTGGACTGGAGACGACACTTAGGTTTGGTCTTGGAGTAATTAAAAGGGTTTTTGGCCTTTAGAAAAAAGGATGAACCTTCCCAAACTGAACTTTTAAAGTGCTGACAGGCATTTTTTGTTTTTACAACAGAAGAGACTGTGTAAGTCTATTCTGTCATACAGGCTTCTACCTGCCTATCCACACTTTTTTTGTGTGCACTGCCATGCACACACAGCACAGCGTACAATTCTGGCTCGATTCTGTTCCAGGGCAAAGCAATTCCTGTGCAAATGGGTGGGAGTTATGTCATTGTCTGGCCAATCAAGCATCCAAAGACTTTTAGCCTGGAAGTCCAAGAGAAGGTAGAAACACCAGACGGGAGTGTTGACATCACTAAGCACTACAGAGAGTACATGTCACCCAGTGAATGACATTAGTGATCAAAGCCTTAGACTTATTCCTTTCATGGTAAATCATCAGAAAGTGGGAAATTTGAAGACAATCAGCAGTTCAATTTGTGAGGTAGCTTCCAGTACTCAGCCTGAAGGAACTACCTACAAAGTGGGTCTTCAGGAACAAGGCAAGCTCTGGGCCTGAAATGCATCCAGAGCTAACTTAAACCATCACTAGGTCTGAAAAGCACCCCAAGTGGAGCTCAGTGCATCAAGGTCACTTCCAGACAAGCCCCTCAAAATCCAATCCAGCAGACTCTGGTACAGAACTCCAGTCATCCTAAAGGAAATCTTCATAACTACCAGGTAGAGACCACCTTAAGCTGTAAAAGGAATCTTGATAGAAGAAAAAAAGCTGGCAAAAAACAAAATTTTCCCAGCAGAGCTGAAGAAAAAGTGAATTTTTTTTTTGTACTCACCATAAAATACTTTCCTCTGAGTTCATTAAAGGACACAGCTGACTCTCAGATGGGTTTGATGCCACCACCTTCAGGCGTAGGACCCTAGTACAACACCTAAGGGGCAGCCCACTAGGAGTGGCCAAACCCCCTATCTGCAACCTCAGGTTAGTTAGTAGTACCCAGTAGTAGGATGACAATACCAAACAAGACTGGGCAGGTGCTGTGTCCTTCAATGAACTCAAGAGAAAAGGATCTTATGCAAGTACAAAATTCAAGTTCTCTATAGTTCTCTTAAAGCGGAGCTCTACCCAAAAGGGGAAGTTTCGCTTTAATGCCTTGTTCCCCACTCCCCATTAAGGATTGGCGCCTTTAAGGAGCGAGGGGGGGAGCAGGTGCCTGAATTTGACAGGTATCGCTCCCACTTCCGGTGTGATCGCCTAAGGTGATCAGAAACTGATGTTGTCCTGCCCCCTTCCTTCCCCTGTAGTCTTCTGGGACCAGAAGACTACAAGACCATTCACAAAGTGCAGCGCTTTTTTTTTTTTTTTTTTTTTTTTTTTTTAATTCAACTGTAACGCCGTGTTAAGGACAAAACTGAATTTCTCACAGGTGGGACGTCCCAAAGCAGTTCCAGAAAGACAGAAGGGGTGGGCCCACAACCAAACAGAACTAGGAACGACCCCCAAACTCCAAACTTTCTGGCCAAAGTGGGCATCCACAGAGGCAGAAATATCAACCTTATAAAATTTAGTAAACATGTGAACGGAGGACCAAGTAGCAGCCTTGCAAAGTTGAACAGAAGCCAAGTGAAAGGCCCAGTACGCACTTAGCGCCCAGGTAGAATGCACAATAATTGTAAAATAAGCCTTGCAGCCTGCAAGGGCATAGGCCTGGATTTGTCATTCTACGAATCCATTTCGAAATGGAAGACCAGGCTTGACCTCGTCTAGGCCCCTCCAGAATGACTAAAAGAGCATCAGACTTCCAAAGAGATGCTGTGGCTGAGACAAACTAATAGCCCTTACCACATCCAGGCAATGGAGAGCCACTTCTTTTGGATGAGGGAACAAGGGAGGTAAGACTATATCCTTGTTAAAGTCAAAGGTCAACACCACCTTGGGCAAAAAAAACAAGAAAAAAAACACACCTATAGCCTCGGTCGAAGAACCAGCTTGTCCATATGCAACACCAAAAAAAAAAAAAAAAAGGGGGGGGGGGGGGGGGAATAAATATTGGATATGGAGCTTGTAGCTTTCTAGTTTATCAATTATTCAGATGGGTTTGATGCTGCCATCTTCAGGAGCATCATGGTAGCACAACTTAAACTAAAAGCACACCTAAGGGGTGGCCCAAACCTTTTCATCTGCAACCCAGGATTCAGATTTTGCCTACCACCTTTGGGAGTTTGGATGTGGAGCTTGTAGCTCCCTAGTTTTTCAAACTCCCAAAGGTGGTAGGCAAAATCTGAATCCTGGGTTGCAGATGAAAAGGTTCGGCCACCACCAGAGGGCTATCCCTTAGGTGTGCTTTTAGTTTAAGCATCAAACCCATCTGAGAAATTCAGCTGTGTCCTTCACTGAAGGATAAAGATGTCTAATTAAGAAACTAGCAAAAAAAAAAAAAAAACACAACACACACATGGTGGAGGTGCATGTAACCCTGGGTCTGGCATGTTTTTCTTTGTTTACAAGTGTCCAGATCACCTGTAGACAGCAGTATAACCTAAAGCCCCTTCCTATGGGTTCACGTGTGGACTTGCTCCCCTTACTTGCTCTTTGCGTCTGTAGACACACACAGTGTGACTCAGCACAAAATTTGACTGACAGCACTTGGAGCCAAAATGGTTCCCGCTGCTCTCAGCCAAGCCTGTCAGTGAGGGGAGAAATCTGCAGACAAGTTCAGAGCTGGATCAACACAGGACTTGGGTAAGAATTTGGGAAGAGAACAGGGTTTTGTTTTTTTTTTTTAACCTAAATTCATAGCATGCATTGAGGTGTAAAAAAAAAAAAAAAAAAAACCTTATGACTTTAGAACCACTTTCAGCTTTAAATGCTGAAATTGATATAAAATGTGTTAAGACAACCCCAGTTTAGCATTACCATGAAACACTGTCATCCTAGGTCATGGCGTGTGTGGCCTTTCCGTAGATTCAGGCCTGGTAATGACACCACTGCGCAAAACGACTGTAAGCACCTTTACATGAAGAAACTTTTACTGACTGTCTTATTAAAGTGGCGAGGGCTGCTCATAGCATCCATCTATATAACCATGGGTAGAGACCTTCAAAGTCTTGCAAGGTGGCAGGTACCTATCAACAAAACTATCAGTTTAATACAGGACCCATGGAGCCATTTTGCCTGTATAAAAAAAATGGAACTCTTGCAACCGCAGTTTCAATATGCTATGTGTTAAAGTATTTTTACGTTGACAACTGGAATGCATTATTAATCAAAACCACTGGAGGTATCGGGCATTTTACCCATACAGCACTTAATGCAGAGGTGATGCAATAGATAATTGACTAATCTGCCTATTGCGTGAACCTCCAATACCAATCAGTCACTTTCCCCAGTCACCAGAAAAAGGACATTTTAGGGTTTATTTACTAAAGCTGGAGAGTCCAAAATCAGACTCCCTTCTGCATAGAAACCAATCAGCTTCTAACCTCAGCTTGTTCAATGAAGCTTTGGCAATGACACCTGGAAGCTGATTGGTTTCTATGCAGAAGGGAGTCTGATTTTGGACTCTCCAGCTTTAGTAAATAAAACCCCTTTAGGTCTAATAATTGATCAGCAGGATCACATCTTTTCTTTGCTGTGGATTCACAAGAGTGGAGAACTGTGCACACAGTTCAACCTGCTGACAGGGTTTTTATATACCTAGCACAGTCCTACAACTTTGAGGCAACATGATTTACAGCTGTCCTCAAGATTAAGCAGGCATTTTTTTTTGTAAGATCCAGGCTATGCACGCAAATTTAGTAGCTCAACTGCAAAACTGTATTTGCCAACTATTAATTGCTAATAGTAACCAGCTGTTAAACAGATGGCCCAGAGCACTAAAATGGTGTAAGCTACACTAGCAACATGCAGTGGCAATTAATTGCGCAAAGCTACTATATACAAAATTATGTAGGTAGAACTGGAGTCATTTCTTTGCTCCGTTTTGCTGCTTCTAGCTACAGATCGCTAGCCTGTGTAGAGGGTTCCATACTGGAAATAGGACTCCTGTTTGTACATGGTAACATCGTCATAACCTACATCTTCTTTGGATTCTAAAATACAGAAATTGCAAGTCAACTCTTGCCAAGCATATTAATAAATATTTTTTATTTTCAATTCTGCACATTGCGCTTTTACATTATCACATCCAAAACATTTAGCAAGTGGATGTCTAAATTGGTAAATCCTATATTTGGTTTGTTACCATTTTGTACAAAATTATAATTACAACATTTAACGCTAAAGGTTGTGTGCACGTGTACGTGTATAACGTTGACACAATCGAAAAGCAGAAAAAAGGGAAAAAAGGTGCAGGGTGTTACTCTCATCATAAGAAATTATAACCCAGAAATCAACAAAATGTGCTTTGAACCTCTTCCCTCGAGAAAATAAAATTAAAAAGGAAAAGAAAATCTGGTAAAAATTCAAGAGACCAAAATCAGAAAATTTTGTAAGACAGAAAACAGTGCGGTAATCATTCTGATTATTTCAATGAAAGTCAGAATTTGTTTATTGTGTTTAATTTGCTCCAGCTGTTGCCAACCAGCTACTACAAACAGGATTCCGGTGATCATGTCGGAGACAGTACTTATTAAACTTTTCCTTCAGATACTGTCTAAACTGCTGCCGGTTGCTGATAAAGGACTGGTTGTTTGCCATAAAGGCCTGGATTTCATCCTGTGATAGACCATCTTCCTCTTCTGAAGTGCATTCTGATTCATCCTAAAAACAAGAAAATAAGGGATCTTCTCAAAATTTGTTTTCACCATAAAAACCAAATCTAGTGTTATGTCCCGACTGGAGAAAAGTTTGCCAAATAAGTAGTAAAACAAAAAAGCAACATGAAATGCTGCAGTATGACAACTAATCAGAAGAGCCACAGGTCAAGTTTGGCCGCCTCAGCCATTGCAGAGATGACATGCCCTACACGATAACAGGTTATCCTAAGATGTTCCCTTTATTGAGCTGCGCTATGAACCTGTTCCTGAATTCAAGAAAATGACCAGTTACCAATGACATCTTGGAAATCCAATTAATTTAGTAAACAATCACCTAGCTTCCAGAACACACTTCATGTGTTAGAGGCTCCCTAAAGCATGCAGCAGCATTCACACCTTTAGAATGCATGCTCCCACAGAGTACTACAAAGCTGGTGTGTTGATGTAAAACATGTCAAAAAAAAAAAAAAAAGTACTAACCAGAAGTTCTTTTAAGGTTTTTGTTTCTCTTCCACCTTCCAAATTGTCTGATGGTTGTCCTGACCCTGTGCATTTTAATAATTCACTCTGGTGATCTATGCATGACTGTCCATTGATTTTCATGGAAGAACAACAGCTATCAGCTTTGCCATCTTTGGACTGATCATTGTGTATGTTGTCTGGAATTTCAGATGCACAGGCCCCATGCTTAAGGAAAAAAAAAAAAAAAAATTAACATTTAAACACCTCATTTATCATATGACATTTTAAAATGCAGATGAAAAGAATGCAAAAGAAATAATGCAAACATCATTCCCTGCCCAGCAGCTGCACGTGTACAAAGGGTATGTATATGTATGGCTGCAGGGCAACGAAGGCCCTGGCTGAGACAGGATGGGCCCTGCACTGGTTGATCTAAATTCCCATGTGCAAGCTCACCAAGAAGAAGCTAGGGCTCAATTCACACTTGTGCGACTTTGGATATCAAAGTCCCAGCCCATGCTTTTCAATGGCACCTGTTCAGATCGATGCAACTTGGTTGCAGCGACTTTGAAAAGGCACCTATACGACTCTGATGCAACTATGATTCAGAGAGTGTAAAGTTAAATCTAAGTCACAATGGAAACTGTGCAACTTTGGAGTCGTACAAGTGTGACTGGAGTCTAATCAATGAATCCTATGAAACAGGCAGCTGAACTTACAAAAATGAAGCTTGATCCCATACAGTCCTGCCTAATACAACAGCAAGCTTCCCAGACCAATAGAGGGACTTGATTTTAACTGTGTCCCCTCACAGCAACCGATATTAAGGGGAAGAGCTGTGATCTACATAAAATGCTCAGCTACACTACTTGACAAGAGGCCGAGATTGCTCACAATGATAACAAAGTTTACGTCAAGGGTTTAGGTACCATCTTTCAAAAATCATCATCTGAAGTGTGGACACACAGTATACGTAACATGCAAATGCCGGGGGGGGGGGGGGGGGGGGGGGGGGGGGGGGGGTTGGAGAGAGAAAAAGAAAAAGGAAAAAAAAACACGTACACTCTCTTTTTCACATTTAAATGGTTTGCATTTCTTCTTCTTCTTTTTATTTTTTCCTTTCAGACTATCCTCTGCTGAATTGGCCCAACATTCCACACAGCTATCACCATCTTCTTCTTCCTTGTCACAATTGACACATGAATCCTCACCTGCAAATGAACATTAAAAATGTAGTAAATATTAAAATGATTCTATATTTTACATTTTGTACAAAACAAAAAAACAAAAAAAAAAAAAAAAAAAAAAAAAAAAACTACATAGCAAATTATAAAGTGGTTTTAAACATTTACATATACCCAGTGAAGTGACTACTTTCTGCCTATCATCCGAGGCCAGACATATCCCCCTAAATACCTGTTTATCTGCAGTCCTCTCTTCTCCATATCAATTTAAAGTCCAGAATTTCCATAGCTTTTGAGCTTCCAGAGACAGGGGGAGGGTATCTAATGTCACTCACTTCACAGCTCAGACTGGAGTGCCAAATGTAATCTGAAACCTGAGAGGAAAAAAGGGACGTCTCCCCTTTACACCATCTCATAGGGAACATGCACAGCTGAGGCTCATACAAGCTGTGTGCTGGTGCTCCCCCTCAATCACTGGGAGTCTGCCAGAAATGACGTATGCAAATAGAGGAACCAAAAATCACACTGGGTGCTCTGGATTGAGGCACGTACACACCATAGACCAGTGTTTCTCAACTTTTTTTCAGTCAAGGCACCCTTTAAAATTATGGGCAGTCCTGAGGCACCTTTTAAAATTATGGGCAGTCCTGAGGCAACCCATTCTAAAATGTGAAAAAACTATTCTAATAGCTTTATATAACACAGCAACATCCACACATGTAGGACACCAACATTAGAGGGGACTTATTCTTTCAAAGCAAATACACTTCTGCACACTGGTACTGATCAATATTCCAGGATTTCTCTTCTCCCCCAGATTCTCTCCATCACTGAGCTAATGTGACCCCAGCACTGAGAGAGGTAGGGGGATGATTAAACTAGGATCATGACAACCTCATCAACTGATGTTATTGGCTGTCAGGGTGCCTGCGGCTAGAAGGTCGTAATGGTTCACTATGAAAACCTATGGCTTTGTGTAACCAAAAGGCAGGCTTGTTCCACCACTGGCTTGTATACAAGTTTTGGGCAATTTATGGACATTTTGCCAAAGCACCCCTAAAGAAACCTCAAGGCACCCTTGTTGAGAAAGGCTGCCACAGACTCACCAAAAGAAAACAAAAAAACCCAAAAAAAACATGGAACCTGAAAACAATTGGTAGGTGACACTTTTAAAGCTTTTAGAGGTTAATCAGCTTAGAGTTAGCCATCAATTATGGCCCCAGAACTATTGCTCCAAGTCCAGCGTGTAACATGCAACTGAGCGTGCCCTCTTCAAATCCCCCTCCAGGGCCATGCATGAGGGTTCTTATCAGCTGCAGTCACTGTCCCATTTAAATTCAGCACCACAGATCTGTGAATGAACTACAAGTCCTGTCTATCACTGTGGAAGATGAACTTGCAGTTCATAATGGTCTACAAGTGCGGTAATCAGCGCTTATGTAATACATTGATACTTCCTCCAGCTTTCTAACTCAAAGCCCTTACAGAGATACAGGTTCAGAGCTGCAGGAAGAGTGTGCAGGAGCCTGACATTGCCCTCTGTTCATTGTTTGCAGGCTCAAGTAAAAACAAAAAAAAAAAAAAAAAAAAACAAGTGGTTATTTTAAAATGACCTTTACAAGCCCAAACACTATCCATGCAGCAACACTGTACCTTTTTTCCCCCAGTTACCTCTGGTCCAGGTGGGTGATGTTCTCCAGTGATGGGTGGTTTCGAATGCTGCAGAGAGCAGCGCCTCATAATATGGCTTAGGAACAATTCTGCAAATGTCTTAGAGTGGCCCAGCCAGAGCCCCGACTTGAACCTTATCGAAGATCTCTGGAAAGACCTGAAAAATGGCTGTCCAACGATCCCCATCCTACCTGACTGAGCTTGATAAGATTTGCAAAGAATTGTAGAAAATCCCCCAATCCCGGTGTGCAAAGCTTGCACTGTCATACCCACAAACACTCAAGACTGTAGTGCTTCAATTATAATATTTCGGTTTTCACTTTGTATTTACGGGGTACTGAGTGTAGATGAAGGAGAAAAAAAAAAAAATTTAAACAACTGCAGTATCAGACTGTAACATAAGAAAAAAAATTAATGTAAATGGGATCTAAATACTTTATGCACTGTACATCTGTGCTGCATTTTATGTATATCACTCTTGCATTACCTGTATTTCATTACATTTATATTACTATGTATTGCACCGTTTGTGCTATATTGCTCTTCTATTTTTTATGCATATGTTTTTGTTCACATGTATGTTAGTCTCTTTAAAAGGGATAGCGGAACACCTTTCTATATTTTTTTGTTCCATTGCATATTCAAATAGTTTGAGTGCGGCTTTCCCTAGTTTTCACTAACACTTTGCACCAAGTGCAAGGTTTTGCGCAATTTATATACTTTTGTTATATTGCCTCCTAGCTGTTTATCTGCAGTGTGAGATCAAGGCAATGCCAAATTTGATTGCTAGTCTCAAGATAGCCATGATATTACTATTGTACAACTTACTAATTTTCCATGTTGGAGAAGAAGCTGTACCGGAGGACTTGCAGAGCATGCATCTGTCTGATTTTGCAGACTTAAGCTTCCCCAACCTCTCCTGCTACTTAAAGTGAAATTTTAGGCTATTAAAAAAAAAAAAAAAAAAAAAAAAAAGGGAAAGGGTGAACAGGCAGGATGTTTAATGCATAAAAGACCTGCCTTGTCTCTTCTGCATCTAAAGCTACTTACCTGCCTGTCTGTCTGTCGTTGTACAGTAAGCTGTGCAAGCGCAGCTCACTGCACACATTCAGCAATGCTGAAGCTGACGGAACTCCCTCGTATGCACAGGAGTGACGTCATCTTGGCACGGCCAATGACAGCAGGAGGCAATTGGGACCAGGAAACTGGATGCTGAAAATTCGGGGAGTTGCATGGCCACGCATCGGATTCAAGGAGAGTATATAGTTTTGCCTTAATGATCACCATCTTGCCAGTAAACCGGGGACAGAAAGTGTGTACTAGCCTCAATCCAAAGCACTGGGTGTAATTTCTCTCTGATCTCTCTTCAGTCGGCTAGCTGTATGAGTCGCTACTAAAAAGGTCTTGACAACACCGCAGAAATCTAGGCAACAGCCCAGCTCTCCTCCAGCACGTGACTGACAGCCTCAGCTGTGTATATTTTCCTACGATTCTCTGTAGAGGGGGTGTCCCTTCCCTCTGCTCCCAAAATTACGCTACAGCTCTGTGCCCTAGCTGTGCAGTGTGCGACATCAGATCCTCACCCTCTGCTTTCTACTGCTGGGAAATGTCCTTTGATCTGTGTACTCTGAAAGGCTTTAGAACCAGAGGTCTGCAGATAAAGTACAACTTATGTAGGAGGATTTATTTAATCTCTGGTATCACCTGAGGCTAGTCATTGCACTGGGTATATGTAAGGGTTTACAACCATGTTAAGTCAGTTATGAGGAATTAACCAGCTGCAGGAAACTGTATAATGTAGCTGCAAGAGTATTTTTATCATCTACAAAATATTCATCTCCGTACACATTTATAAAATATCTGACACTGATATTTTAAGTTATTTCGACAGTACTGTATAATACCTGCTTCATCATGGTTGCAAATGCCTTCAGTGCAAGCCACATCTGACCCTTCCCGAGATCCTGGTTCACTACCTTCCATGCTAGATGAATAACCACAATCACTTCCATTGGAACGTGGTGCTAAGCCTGTTATAACAAACATGAAATAGCACTAAGTATAACTTTTCAATACAAGAACGTCATGCTGCAAGTTAGAAAACCGTATCAATGCTTACAAAACCTTGCTTATTAGGGAAAACAGCAATGCAAAATGATGTCTAAAAAAGGCCTTCAATTAACAACAAAACAAGGTCTGAAATGAAGTATTCAAAAACACCTCTACTTATCACACCCTCTCACTGTTATTTTGCATTCAAATATATAATGAGTCAGTTCACCCAAAACCAAACAGTTAAACATATATACCCTTTTTCATTTTTGAAGATGCCAGGAGATTCCCACTATTTGGACAAGTGCATGAAGAGTTTTCATGTGTTATTACCACTTCTACACAGCTGTTGTCTTCTATACCATTGCAAGACTTGCAGCCCATATCTGCAAAGCCTGGTGTCTCCTAAAAATAAAAACAGACAAAAAGAGGTAAGACCACAGCAGTGAAGTTTTCTGAACAATGGTTATTTGTTTGTTAGCTATTCACATTTTTCTGGAAATATTCTGTTTATTCTGTTGCACAAATTCATTATTCAAAATATAATAAAATTTCAAACATAATAAATTTGTTTGTTTTCTTCTTAAAAAGAATCCATAAGACTTTTTGAATTTATATTCAGTTTTGAGAAAAAAAAAAAGTGAATTTGATAGGCATTCGTGTTAGTTTATTTAACCACTTGCCTACCGGCACTTATACCCCCTTCCTTACCAGGCCAAATTTTCAGCTTTCAGCGCTGTCGCACTTTGAATGACAATTACACGGTCATGCAACATTTTACCCTTATGACATTTTTATCATTTTTTCTCACAAATAGAGCTTTCTTTTGGTGGTATTTACTTGCCGCTGGGAGTTTTATTTTTTGCACTATAAAAAAAAAAAAAAAAGCAAAAAAGGTTTCTTTGTTTCTATTATAAAATTTTGCAAACAGGTAATTTTTCTCCTTTACTGATGTGCGTTGATGAGGCGGAACTGATAGGCACTGACTGGCAGCACTGACGGGCACCGGCCATCAGGGCACTGATAATCAGTGCCCTGATGATCGGTGCCGATCCCTGCTCTGACAACTGCTGCTTTATCAGTCTTAACAGTAAAAGGGCATTAAAGTAAAAGGATACTTATCCTGGGATAAACATGGGGGAAAAACTGCTAACTTCTAATTCTGTATATGGTAGATGTCAGGCTGTCATGCTGACCACCTGCTTTAATACCAACCCAAAGAACATATGCAGATAAGAAGCCTGTGGATCAGCAAGGCAACTAGAACATTCTTAAAAGAGGACAGCAATGCAACCCCCCCTCTATTTCTCTTAAAGGTTTACTTTAACAGACCGTAACAAAATATAGGCCCATCTTGGCTTTATAAACCAACATTTTTTTTTTTATTTATTTATTATACACACACACACACACACACACAAAAATTCTTCCGAAGCTGCAGCCATTACCTTTTCCTGACTTGTGGTGATTGTCTCCATACTTTCTGGTGATGATGGCATATCACATGCACATTTGTTTTTTCTCCTGTTTTTCTTCTTCTGCCGCTTCTTTTCTTGCTTAAGCTCCTGAACCCTTTCCTCTTCCAAAAACTCTTCACACAGCTGTTCTAGCCGGCTAATTCCTTGCACTTTCTCAACAGTCATCTACAAAACAGAAGATATATTTTAAAGCAAAATGCAAAGCAGCTGGTATTCTACAGTACAATGTTTTCATACATAAACACTACTCTCAGTTTAAACTGCTTTGGTCAAATGTCCAAGAACATCAAAAACGCTTTTTTAGAATGTAGCTCCTAACAAATCCTTATTCTCACAGGCCCTAAGGCCCACCTGCACCATGACCACTCATGATGCTAATCTAGGGAAAACTGGGTCTTGTGCGTGCTGCACTCTGGGGGGAACCCCAGGGTGTTGCACCACTAGTGGAGAAACTGGACTGGAAAGTGCATGAAATACCATTTATATTCCCAGTAGCTGAATATCCTCTAAATAAAAAAAAGGGCTAAACCATTACTCCAAAAAGGTAGACCAGCATGTTTATCCTTACATGGATCAGTCTGACTTTATGCCCCCTATCTATATTAGTTCATCTCCAACACTTTTAGAGTCTTTGCCACAGTATCATACAAACATACATTTATGTCTCCTCTTCTTACTGATAAACAAGAGATATGGATTAGTTATCTACTGGTAATTGGCAATATTGGAAAAGCTTCTAGCTGCAGTTACTAACACTGTCACATTTTTATAAAAGAACCCTAAAACTAAAAATGTTAAAAAGAAAAAAAAAAAAAAAAATGACCTCAAAACTCTTGCGTAAGGCATCAACACCAAGATAAAACAGCATTTGCCAGGTCTGCTCCTCGGCTCTTAATTTCTGCCAGATGCGATGCAGACGCTCATAGAGATGAATTCCCAGGCACGTCAAGACTTCTTCTTGTGCAATGTCTATCGTTTTAGCATGCCTTTCCCTACGCCTTAACATAAGAGGAAAAAAAATAAAAAATTATTGCACATTTTACATACAGGTTACAAAAGTAAAAGGTGAAACATTGTAGAGAGGATTAACACATTAACTAGTATCATACAGATCTGCTTGAAGTATACATAATGTTAAAACACATCACAAGCCGTGCACAGCAGCACGCCTAAATGTTAAACTTACGATGTTTAAATATTTTGTGCAGACTTAACATGTAAGTGTAGGCAAACCACTAAATACAGAGTTGAAATACATATATGAATGATCTTACCGGTCATAAAAAGGTGTTTACTTCTGTCCAGATAGTTTCCGAATTCAAAATTTCCCCCAACACTTGCAATGCCAAAAAATATACTGACCATTTCGGTTTCTGTTTCACAGTGTTGCTCTTCACTATCCAACTAGTTTACAGTACTGCACCACCCTCATACAGTCTGAAGGCTGACATGCAGGAGATTACAGGAGGCCAATTCAAAGACATGCACATTGTTTAAAATACAAATCATTTTTAATACATAACAGAACTTCATATTTGCCTACACTTACAAAACCAAAAACAGGTAATAAAATATAGAAAAGTAAACAAAGCGCTAGGGAGCCCACTCTAGCAGGTTACATACTCATACCCGCCGGCGAACTCTGGCTCTGCTCTACCCAGGAGATGAGCAATGAAATCCGTCTCACAGCAGACGTGAATGTGTCGTTCATGAGGGCAACACCGAAGACCTTCATACAGTGCAGCACAATAGCCCTTTTCTTTACTACAGTCCAGTTCTCCAATTAAAATGTTGTATGCTCTAAGTACTTTATTCTTGCAATCTGTGCAAAACCTGTCAAGAAAATATTTAAAATTAGATCAACTAGTTATGAAGAAGTGTGTGAGGATGCCATTATAGGACAGACAATACCTGAAATTAGAGCAGATGTTTCCATATTCAAAAGTTTAAAACCGTGACCTCCCCCCTCCTCTCATTAGAAATGATCATTTTGGCAGGACAATACAAAAGAACAATTCATGCACTGTATTTTTTAATCCAAGCCAGGCATACATCAAAGGGAAACCAGTCATGATCTAAATTTAGGAGCCAACTCTAACTTTTGAAAGTGCTAGCTGCCTGTGGCACAAACACACAATATATATTGCCAGAAGTATTGGGACACCCCTCCAAATCATTGGATTCAGGTGTCCCAATCACCTCTGTGGCCACAGATGTATAACATCAAGCACCTAGGCATGCAGACTGCTTCTACAGGACAATTGTGAAAGAATGGTTTGCTCTCAGTGGATTTAAGCGTGGTACCGTGATAGATTGCCACCTGTGCATTAAGTCCATCCGTGAAATTTTCTTGCTACTAAATATTCTACGGTCCACTGTTGGTGGCTGAGTTGCTGTTGTTCCTAGTTGCTTCCACTTGGTAGGCCACAAAATGACAGAGCGGGGTCAGTACATCCTGAAGCGCACAGTGCTCAAAAGTTGCCAACTGTCTGCACAGTCAATAGCTAAAGACCTCCAAACTTTATGTGGCCTTCAGATTAGCACAACAATGTATAGAGAGCTTAATTGAATTGATTTCCATGACCGAGCAGCTGCACCCAAGCCTTACATCACTAAGTGCAATGCAAAGAGTCGGATGCAGTGGTGTAAAGCATGCCGCCACTGGACTCTAGAGCAGTAGAGGTGTTCTATGGAGTGTGAAATCACACTTCTGTCTGGCAGTCCAATAGGCGGGCCTGGGTTTGGCAGTTGCCAGGAAAATGGTACTTGCCTGACTGCATTGTGCCAAGTGTAAAGTTTGGGGGGGGGGGGGGGGGGGGATTATGGTGTGGGGGTGTTTTTCAGGGCCCCTTAGTTCCAGTGAAGGGAACTCTTAAGGCGTCAACATACCAAGACATTTTGAACAATTTCATGCTCCCAACTTTGTGGGAACAGTTTGGGGATGGCCCTTTCCTGTTCCAACATGACTGCGCACCAGTGCACAAAGCAAGGTCCATAAAGACATAGATGAGCAAGTTTGGGGTGGAGAACTTGACTGGCCTGCACAGAGTCCTGACCTCAACCCAACAGAACACCTTTGGGATGAATGAGAGCGGAGACTGCGGGCCAGGCCTACTTTTCCAACATCAGTGCCTGACCTCACAAATGCACTTCTGAATGGTCAAACCTTCCCATAGACACTTCTAAAACTTGTGGATAGCCTTCCCAGAAGAAATGAAGCCATTATAGCTGCAAAGGGTGGGCCAACTCAATATTGAACCCTACAGACTGGGACGCCATTAAAGTTCATGCGCATGTAAAGGCAGGTGTCCCAATACTTTTGGCAATATAATGTGTGTAACACACATGCTGGATATCTTAACTGATATGGATAGGGCAATGTGTTGGGAACATAAGGATGCCCCATTGTTTGTAGGTTAATTTTTCATTTCCATCAGAGGACTGAATTCAAGAACACCCCGCAAATAAAAAGTGAAAAAAAAATATGCAGCAGGCTAGTCCATTTTGCTGAAATGTCATTGCAGCAACTCAAAATAGTACTCTGTATGGCCTCCATGTGCTTGTATGCATGCCTGACCATGTTAGGGCATGCTCCAATGAGACAACAAGATGGTGTCCTGGGGGTATTTTCTCCCAGATCTGGACCAGAGCATCATTGAGCTCCTGGACAATCTGAGGTGCCACCTGGTGACGTAGGATGGACAGAAACATGATATCCCAGAGGTGTTCTATTGGATTTAGGTCAGGTAAGTGTGGGGTCCATTCAATGGTATCAATTTCTTTATCCTCCAGGAACTGCCTGCATACTCTTGCCTCATGAGGCCGGGCATTGTTGTGCACCAGGAGGAATCCAAGACCCTAAACTGGTGCAGTGGGTCCGACAATGGGTCCAAGGATTTCATCTTGATACCTAATGGCAGTCAGGGTGCCATTGTCTAGCTTGTAGAGTTCTGTGGATCCCTCCATGGATATGCCTCCCCAGACCATCAATGGCCCACCACCAAAACAGTCATGCTGAACGATGTTACAGGCAGCCTAAAGGTTCTCCCATTGCTTCTACAGCCTCTTTCACATCTTCCCAGATGAGAGCAGGTTCACCCTGAGCAAAATGTGACAAAGCACAGGGTCCCAGTGGCAGATCTGCCAATTTTGGTGTTCAATGGCAAATTGAAATCAAGCTCCATGGTGCCGGGGCAGTGAGCACAGGGTTCACGAGAGGACGTCGGGCACTCAGGCCACTCTCATGAAGTCTGTTTCTGATGGCTTGGTCTGAGACATTCACACCAGTGGCCTGCTGTAGGTAATTTTGCAGAACTCAGGCAGTGCTCATCCAGTTCCGCCTTGCACAAAGGAACAGATACTGGTCCTGCTGATGGGTTAAGGACCTTCTATGGTCCTGTCCAGCTATCCTAGAGTAACTAAATAAAAGAAATGCAGCGCTCATAAAACGTGAGTAAATAATATTAAACACAGTCCGGTGTGAAAACAGTGCTCCTCGATTCCCAGTGCAAATGGTAGAATTTCACACTAACCAGAACGCGCATGGGTAATGCGCATGTGTATATATATATCCTGACGATCCCCTCTCCACTCAGGTCTGGTCAAGTGTGTAGCTGGGAAAAATGGAGATCCTACGCCCTCATGTGGTGAGAAAATGATCCGGCAGGTCAGAGCAGTATCAATCTGGAAAAGCCTCCAAAGGAACTGGCACAGGAATCCCCAGGGCTACAAGGATGGAAGAAGCTCCTCCTGGTTAAAGGCGTTCACGGCGTCCATGCTGCTGAGTGAGGGGCGAGGTGATGAGGAGGAGGGGTCACCGCACACTGCGTGTCTCACTGCCTTCCTCGCCTCGCTGTCTGAGGCAGCGAAGCTCCGTCCTTATTCTCGGTGGTACACGGACGGACCGGAGCCCCCCTTCCCCACAGAGCCTTCCTCTTCCCCTCCTCAGAGCGGGACATGCGGGAGCGGAGAGGGCGGCAGTAGCAGCGAGCAAGCAGGCCAGACAGCGAGGCGAGGAAGGCAGTGAGACACGCAGTGTGCGGTGACCCCTCCTCCTCATCACCTCGCCCCTCACTCAGCAGCATGGACGCCGTGAACATATTTTGTTATTATTGGCTCACAATACACAAGAATGCATCCCAAACCTGGTTAGCTCAATGACTTTTTACTATAGGAATGCCATTAGGAACCAAGCCTAAGCCCATTCAGGAAAGAGTGCCATCCTTTCTTAAAAGGTAATACTGTTTTTCCAAGGGTTACGATTGGTCACTACTATCATTTAGTCTTGTATATACCACAGCCAAAATTGTAGTAAGCTAGTCTCTCTCTCCAGGGCTGCTACAAACACGTCTGGTTTGATCATCTGCCAAGCAGTTGAAAAGTGGGTGGGGACTCCTTGGCGAAAGGCATCTATTGCCAAGGCAGGCCATACATTATACAATTTTCTTGTAGAAATGTTCCTTTAGACTTGCCAAAACCGTATAATATAGGGTTAAACCTAAACACTTTCAATTTGCATGCAATCAGGCAGGCCCTTGCACTACATAGTTGAAGGTAAATCTAAAGAAAACTGAATAAAAATTGTATAAAATGAATGGCCAGCTCAAGTTTTTGTTATATTTTTCCAATATTAATTACATTTGTTATCTTTATCTGTTATTACATGTTTATGTACCGTTTAAATTTTACCTACAAGCACTTGCATGGTTTTTTGTTTATTTTCCCAAGATGTGCAAAAAAACAAAAAAAACAAAACGACAAACATGTAACCATGTTAAAAAGCCGGTAATAGAATGGGTTATTGTGGGCTGACTTAAAGTTTGCCAGTGTCGGATCTTTCTGTAGGCAGCATTGTGACAAGGTAGCCCCTCAATGAAATCTGAGAAAAGTATTCTACAGTTGAATTAAAATAGAATTATTTCTACTTTGTATGTTGAGGGACACAGGAAATATTAACCTGCAGGATGTTCAAAATACCTTCAACTGAGAGGTGGGCAACATAGTAAAGCAGCACTAAAATGCTCAAAAAAGAGCCAAGGACTGCCTGCAACTCACAGGAGATGCCTGAAGGACCTTATATTTGAAGCTGGAATTAGCGAAGGCCAAAATGTGGTAGAACTTGTAAACAGCATACTAGGAGACAGTCTTGCAAATCTGAGAAACAGTTGTTTGATACCGAAAAGCTCAAGAAGCACTCACAGATCTAGTAAAGTACACCTCGACAGGAATGACCAAAAGAGAATCAGTCCTTCTGAAAGAAAACCAACAGGCCCAGGACTATGAACTGAAAAGCTCACATCTGGAGTTAGTGAAGTATGAATTTTCTCCTGTGGAAGAACACTCCAGCTTCATCGTTTCATTTGTCATGTATATTCAAGGTCTTATGTACTGCTGTGTCTCTCTTGGAAATGTCTTGTTCGCACAGAATTGGAAAACAAAGCTCATTACCTATATCTATTCAGATGTGGATTGCTACCTTATGGCTAATTCATGTGCATTGTATTTTGTGGTGACTGACTCACACTGTACTGAAAGGGGAGAGGAAAGGGGAGGGGAGGGGAAAAGGGGAGGGGAGGGGAAAGGGGAGGGGAGGGGAAAGGGGAGGGGAGGGGAAAGGGGGGGAGGGGAGGGGAAAGGGGAGGGGAGGGGAAAGGGGAGGGGGAGGGGAGGGGAGAGGAAAATACTCCAGCCTAAGCCGTTTCCAAGACTAGACCTAGATACTCCAAATAACTGTGCTGCAGGGAGGATTTCTGAAGATTCAGGACCCACCCAAACTGCTGCAACATCTGGACAAGCAAGCCACAATGTGCAGCAGAGCACGTGCCCCTCAGTAGGTGGTCATCTACATATCCCACAATGGGGATGCTACGAGAGCATAGCAGGTTTAGGACTGGGGTTAGCATCTTGGTGAATACCCAAGGAGCAAATGAGAAACCTAACAGCAAGGCCAAACTGATGTAGAATGTAGAAACTGTTGATGCTCTGCATGGGGGCATACAGGCACCAGTCTGATAGCCACAAATTTTCTTGACTCGAATGAAGACATTCAGAGCTAAAAGATCTGAGCAGATGCCTCCTTTTGTTTCCAGGACTTGGGACAGCAAACAGCTTAGCATGAGGCTTCCAAACTTCATATAGAAAGAGTTGGAAAATGGGGTGGAACCAGCACTGGTAGAAACATCAAGCTTAGAGTATTAGCAGTAGAATGCAACTAAGTTCATTGCTTAAAGACTGGAGGGACTCCTAAGCCATCAGCCACAGAGGCCGTTTTATTTGAAGTCACTAAAGCCAATGGGAAATCAGATAAAGAAGATGTGGGAGAGGATGCAGGAGCTCGCTTGTGGCCTCTGCAATCAGAGTAAATGTGGTTGATTTGGGCTATAATGTCTTCTTAACCCCAGTAAAAACCTCAGCTGAAAGGGTACAGGATGGATGTAGCCACACAAGACGGAGCTAAAAGAGGACTATGAGGAAGGGGTAGACTCTAAGAGCTGCGTACAACATAACTTCAGGCTGCAAACATCAGCACCATCAGTAGGCAAAAAGCCCCATAGCTGCTAGTGGAGTGTGAGCTGGGGGAAGCCAAAGCAGCAGGAATTCTTTTCCCCCCATTTTCCCCATACTTAGACATATTGCGATCAGGTGGCAGTAAATCAATGTGTAGGCTCAGGGAAAGCCCTCGGGTACACATGAAATATAGACAGCTGGTAGCAGGTAAGTCAAATGGTTGCAGGTGACCAAAGTCACTGTAAGCAGGCAACTGGAACAGGTTGAAAATGGATGATCCACATCTGTTGCAAGCAGAAGTAGTCGCAGGGAGAAGCCCGATACTGTATGGTGAGAAAGGAACACAGAGCCCGTAAATGCGACACGCCACCCAGTAGATTACATCAATGCCAAGTCCCACAAGAAACCAGAAGGAACGAAGAATAAACGGCACCCAGTGACCTAAGTAAACGATACAGCACTTTCTGCTCAAATCTCTGCCCTACTCATTAAGTCAGTCTTTAGAAACGGTAAGTGCAGAGATTGGCTCTGAACCTGTAAGGCATTCCACAAGCTAACCAACCTGTCAGAACAAGTTTGGAAAGTGCCCACCACAGATCCCAGTGCTTGAAGGCTATCCCCTTATCAGTTCAGCAAGGTCTGGATGTAAGGACTTCAAATGCCAGGCTGAGAAAGACTATGCCAGATAACTAAACAGAAAGACAAGCTCTAGCATCAATGTAAAGTCGAGCTTTAATTGAAGGATAAACTCGAATAAAAAGTGCTAGCAAAATTATTTTAGCCTTAACACTGGAGAAAAGACATGTCTCCACCTAGGACAATAGCAAACAACTGCGGCATACTGGTAGTAGAATGGGTTATCCTGGGCTGGCCTACAGTATTTTTTTAGGCCAAAGTCAAATCTACAGCAAACTTTTAGCAAGCTTACTGCAGCTTGTTGTACACACGGTTTTGCATACACAAGACTTTATAATAAAAGTTAACCAATGCATGCAGACACTGCCAAATTTTTCCTCCCTTTATTTTTATTTATTTTTTTAAATTACGGAGATACAAGTCTCTGCTTGTAGTATTTGTTACTTTAACACAAACCATGCAAAGTAAGCTCTTATTCACAGTTAGCATGAGGGCAGGCAGACAATTTAGGAAGTGTTTTTGCACATTTAAAGGCGAATTCAGGAGTTCAAGAGAATAGCAATTTTTCCCATAGACATTTAAATAGGCCATTTGGGAGAGCCTGAAAAACATACAAGTAAACACTTTTCAGGTGCTCCTATTGAAGTCACTGGAGCAAAAACACGTGATTCTTCCGCAAAAAGCGAAGTACTTTGAGCTTCACATGACAGGCGACAATGCACAGGTGTGAACAGCCTATTAAAAATAAATAATCACATTCTTCAGCTTGAGCACTCCCAAACTTTGGGAATCGTACAACAATAGCTCAGGTGTGAATGGGGGATTAAAGTACAACGAAATACAAATTTATTCTGATTGCCCGAAGAGCAGCTAGTACAAAACCGAAGGGATGTTACCTGTGTTTCCGTAGGTAATTTTCCAAGGTTTCCAAAAGACAGCTGGAATCAATTAAAACAACTTCATCGCGGCATTCCTGGGACATGACTTCCCAAATGTCCATCCAGTTTCCCCTGCAAAGAAATAAAGTAGATTTCACTGTGTAGCATTTAACTGTTAAATGCTTACAGTTTACACCAGGGATGTTGAATTTATATTGCCCAACCTTTAGCCCTGTAAGCAAGCAGCAGGGCATGCCTGTCAGGTGGAAGCATTCAGGCAGTTCCCCTTGTGAACCCCCCCCCGCGTTAAGTCTCCCGGGCTCTGCTTGTCCATCTGCGGGCCCGGGACTGGTTCATCGCCGCCGGCTCAAGGGGAGGGAGGACAGCGGACACGCTCCCCTTCTTGTCCTGACCCAGAAGTGACGTGATGTCACTTCCGAGTCCCCATTGATAGATTCCTGGCCATGGAGGCCCGGGAAAGAATGTAATGCAGTGTGATGTGCACTACAGTACATTCAGTGGAGCACACAGGAGACATCCAGGGCATACTAATAGACCTAAGATCTAATAACCCTGGATGTCTCAATAAAGAGAACCTGTCACCAAAACTCATCACATAGGGAACTTTGTCCCTTGTGTGACGAAAAAAACAATTTTTTTTTTTTTTTTTAATTGTAAAAAATGAAAGTTACAGGCAAGCACATAACATTTCCCCCCCCCCCTATATGTACGTACATACGTAAAAGCACAAGCGGGGGCGCCTACGCATGAAAAAGTCAGTTGCAATACACTTTTCTCATGTCACCACACAAGCCAGGATGAGTGCAAAAATTCTAGCATGAGACCCCCTTCATAACACTATAATGACCTATAAAGGGGCTTTAAAAAAGTGTCACCTATAGAAAATATAGGGTACTGAAGTTCATCGCCATTTCACAAGCGCACGCAAATTTAAGGTTTGACATGTTGGATATTTACTTGATGAAACCTCATCTTTTATATTGTACAAAAAAAAAAAAAAAATAGGGTAATTTATTGCTTTTTTTGGTGCCCTAAAATTAACTTGCTTGTATTTTTTACTGAAATTGTGTGGTAATATTATGCAACATAAAAAATTGGAACTACCACTATTTTATTCTCTAGGGTATCTGCTTTCAGAAAATATATCATGTTTAGGGGTTGTGTCATCTTCAGGCCTAAAATTATATATATATATATATATATATATATATATATATATATATATATATATATATATATATTTTTTTTTTTTATTTTTTTTTAAACTTGGGGGGGAAAAAAAGAAAAAAAAAAAAAAAAACACCACACGGCTCTGGCAAGGGATAAAGGATAAACCTGACACTCCCCTTTCCTGAGGAGCACCCAATCAGTTCTCATTACACTGCAAGGTCTCTCCCCTCCATGCCAGTCCCCAAGTGTGGTGCTGGAGACAGGCAGGGAGGGAAGGAGGCGATAAACGTGTAATAATTTTAACATTGAGCTACTTAAGTCGCCATAAAGCACCTTTTGATTTTAAAAGCCCCAGCATTCCTAAAAATCACCTGATTTAAATATGGTTTTGGTTAAACCTTTTTTTTTTTTTTTTTTTTTTTTTAATCTGGAAAAGTAGATTGTCATGAGAGACAAGTAGATTTGAACCACAATTTAGTCCCTGGACAGGTAGTTTTTTCAAAAATTTACACACCCCTGTTACACAGCCAATTTTACATTCTCACATTGCAAGCTGTCCTACTGTAGAAAAAGGACAATTAAATGAGTTAAGAGGAACTGAACTCCAGAAGCTGTGCCAATAAACTGGCAGGTAGATGGCAAAGGACAAGTCACGAATATTGCCTCTGGTCTTCCAGCAGCTGATCTTTCCCCCTTACCGAATGACCATACCTTGTTCTGCACAGTGTCTCTGTGGAGGTGGCCATTTAGTAGAGGTAGAGATTTTCTTCCTCGTGTCAGAGCCTCCAGCACAGAGAACTGTGGGACAGCACAGTAGTGACATTACCAAATGTCACTCCAAATCTCTTAAATCTAACAGTCCGAGGCAGCAGTGCCTTAGATCTCTCAATTTGGATATATAAACCATGAGGCATACTCACATAATACTGTGGTCTACCAAAACTTACCCCAAAGGCTTTGGCTTGTGTGTATCTAATGAATGAAGCTGGCATCTTTTATTCTTCTTGCTTTTTGGAATCGCTTCAATCATACTGCTTAGTTTAGTTCTGAAAACAAGACAGACAAAGATTGTAAAAAATATGTTACTTATCTGAGATGGCTGATTGTCAACACCACACTAATTATTTATAGAAGCTAGGCCCATGCACGGTTTTCTGTATGTAAACAGTTTCAGAAGCAAGACACTTTATGATTAAGATGATTAATAACTGGTATAGATACTAGGATTGACCCCTGCCTAAAGCTGCGCCAGGAGGGACTGGTGTGAAACTTTATATCTTTCTGTTGTACAGGTGATGGAAAACCAGTGACATGTACTACTATTTTTGCTGTAATTTGACTAAAGCTATAGTGCCATAGTGCGTTTCATCTGCCCAGTGATATGTAACTTGCTCATTTGTCAATGCTGGAGTACTAGTTATGACTTGCAGAGATACGTTCTCTGCTCAAATGTCACTGTTATTTTCTCTTAGTGTTGAAAAAAAAAAAAAAAAAAAAGTTGAACTCAAAATAAGGATGTAAATAATGCAATATAGCAGTCACACAGTAAAATAGATTAGATTAAATTGCACAAAAAGTCTAAAGAAAATCTGTGTGCAAAAAATATCACAAGTAATCTATAAACTTCTTTTCAAAAATCCCAACGAGTAAATAAAAATACAACCACACACCACATTATTTCCCATTATGTGCTTTATTTTCAGTAACGGGAGCTACAAATAATTATTCCTTCTTTAGGCACACATTTAAAGCCCAACCACATTCTCTTATTTAGGCTAGAGTCAGAAAAAGTCAGAACTTACGACAGGTTTAATTGCCCTTTTGCACCTACTGGGGAGAATTACCTAACTTTCTATTCTTGTGACGCATAGATAAGAAATGTGTATTTTTGTTCAAATCCTTATCTCAACTGAAGAGACACCTTTTCTCTCAGAATGTGAGTAGAAACAGGTTTTTACTACGGTCTGTGTACCAAACTCAAAATACAAAAACTAAAGAAAGTTTTGTTGTGGCTGTTCATGGGGCAACTTGAGGGTTAGAGTGTTCTTTCGCTTTTGTTCAAAACGGTCGCCAAATTGAATACTAAATGTAATACCTAAATACGTTTCTTCAGTCAAAAGTTTAAAAATTATTATCTGTGACACACTCTTATGAGAATATTATTTGGAAATCTAATGTTAGCCATAACAAGGCCTGTCAAAGCAACCCAACGGTATGCTTGTATGCTTACCTACCCACACTTCATGACAATACTCAACTTACATGTGAGTAGTATGAGATGTATGTACCATGCCCACTGCCAAGATTTGTATTACCTATGTTTGAAGCAGACAATATTCTACCCACTTTTCAGCATACTCTTAAGTTCAATGTCCGTGTGTATTAACTACAAAATAAATCACAGATTTGTCTTTACAGTGGTCACTGCTTTGAACTGAACTAGGAGCAGTAATATTTACAGCCGAGGGGGGAAATTATGGGGTTTAACAAAAAAAAAAAAAAAAAAAAAAAAAAAAAAAGGAAAATGGTTAAGTAATTTCTAGTACTCAAAACAGAATATTTATATACTCATCACCAAGATGGGAAACGTGTATAGGAAACCATTTATTTTTTCAGTCAAATCTAAAATAAAGCCCATACAGTATATATCTACAAGCCAAGGAAAAATTAAATGCTACTCACCCCCGCACATAAAACAGCGTGTACAATTTTGTGGCATCAGTCATACAACTGTGTGATAGAGTGAGCACACACCCTTCGCACCCACTGAGAGAGGGTCCAGTGCAGGGTTTCCAGACTCCACAAGCTGAGTGAAAAGGCGTTCCACACTCCTTCGACAACCAACACATGGAACAAGCTGGGAAAGTGCATTGAAAACTTCTCGTGAGGTCACCATCATGGCAATACTCAGCTCTTGCTCGCTCAGCATGCTGTGGCGCTGTGACAAGAGGGAAAAAAACAAAAAAAAACAAAACAAAAATGTGATAACACAATAAGAATCTGGATCAGTTTCAGAGCTTATTCACACATAGCACAGTGGGTTTTTCTGCACTGGATGAATAAAAATAACCGCTTGGGCACATAGAAAGCAGGAACTTGCAACTGGAGCACTGCTTCCGCTGTGATTGGGCACAGCAGAAGCTGCCAATAGATGACCATTGGCATCTGTTGCTCATTGAGGAGACAAGCAAGGCAGAGCTGTGTTCTGTCAGTGGCGATCTGCTAGATTTTATTGCCTACTAAAAACAGCACACTGTGCACACAAACACTGGCTAGGTAGACAACACATTGATCACCCTAGATGTTTAGCCCCTTCCCATTAGTACAGCGTCCGTGTATATTTTTTTTTTTTTTAACATTGATCACTGTATTAGTGTCACTGGTTCCCACAAAGTGTTAGACTGTCTGGCACAATTTCAAGTTGCTGATCGTCACCATTACTCGTATAAAAATAAAAAAACCCACACCACACACACTAAAAGATCTATTTGTTGGAGAAAATGGCAGAAATCTCATTTCTGTATAGCGTTGCATGACCGTGCAATTGTCAGTTAAAGTAACGCAGCGCTCTATTGCAAAAAAATGGCCTAGGTATGAAGGGGGGGGGATAAAACTAGAGTGGCTTTGCCCTCTAAATGAAACACATTGAAGGTCAAATCCACATCTAGGAATGGTCTGTCCTATATATAGGTGCAAAATAGACCGACTATATGCACACATATCCTCTCATTGCTGATAAGTAATTGATAGACATTTAAAGAAGTGTGCTGTTCCTAAGAAGCCCTGGTTATAGAAGAGATTAAGGACCACAGTAATCAGTTTCAGTAGTTTAACAGCTCCTAGTCTCTTTCCTAAAAATAAATTCTGGTTTAAAGAGCATGGAAAATACCGTAGATACTGTCAAAATAAAATTAAGTCACAAAAGTAGTAAGCCATGTTAAATTTATTGGTTTTAATCAAGGAGTGCATTTTTAAAAAACTTATTTAGATGTCTTTTACACAATACATTGGCCAAGGAGCATTTTAATATGCTCATCAGGCAAGACATTATAATGGAAACCAGAGATCATATGCACTTACCTATTTTGAGCAAGACCAAATATGCATAGAAGATATTCTAGTTCCCATATAATCAAAACCACGTTATTACACCATCATAATGCAACACCCCTGTTTAAATGCAATTCATTGTTTTATAGTTTATGAGCAGTGTTTATGCCTTATTGAAAACAAACTAGTGCGTACTTCATCAATGTGCCAGTCAAGCTTTGGTCTAGGACAGCCTTTTTACCCCCAGAGGAACCCCTAAAGTAATTTTTAGATCTTGGGGAACCCCTTGGAAGAAGACAATCCTGACATTGGTGGTTAGTGGGAAAGAATGTCCGCTACACTAGTGATGAGAATGTCCCCAGCATTGGTGGTCAGTGGGTACATGCCCTCTTAATAGCGCTTGTCAGAATACCACCCTTTCAGACAACCAAAAGGATAACTGTTGTCATGCCATTACCATCAAATGAGAGATCAAACAACCCCCAGGAACCCCCAGTTTCAATCCAGTGCTCTGCCTGAGAGCAGAGGCACTGCTCTCTTTCTCTCCCCCCCATCACAGGCTCAGAGAACAGAAGGGGCAATGAGCTCCATCTGCAGTCAATCAAATCCTGTGAGGAGGCGGATTGGGCGCTCACATGCTCACTCTCCCCCCTGATGCAGTATCTCTGAACTCAGTGTCTGAGAGCTCACTCCTGTAGTGGTGGAGGCGAGCAGTAATGACTAGGCCTGGCCTAGCAACACCATGGGGGTTTTCCAGTCAGGCTTCAGGAGACATGCAAATACCTATAGCAAGGGAATTATTCAACTTTAGTCAGAGCTGCACAGTTTGTTTTTATCTACAAACACCCCTTATCCACATAGGCAGCTTTTGGTAAAGTTGAACTATCCCTTTAAGTGACTCTGCCAAGAAGCTAAACATGTGTCAGAAGTCTCGAATAGAAACTGTATTCCTCGAATACACAGGCTGCAAATTAGATCTGGGGTAGCAATGCCAACATGGTTTAGCGTCCATGAAAATAATGCTGCTGCCTCATATAAGATGCTTCTGAACCAGGATTATATTTGCAACCAAATTACTATAAACATTTCATGTTATAAAGAATGTCTTCCCATTTTGCAATAATGCGAAAGAATCAAAGACTTAAAGTGGTTGTAAACTTCTGACATGAAATATGAGCAAAGCATATCACTCTTCAGCGTGTACTTGTCTCAATTGAGAGCAGCAAGTATCCTGTCTGCTGCTTCGTTCCTCTGTTGTGTGTTGGTTGCTTCTGACAAGTTTTCCTGACACCGAGAAAAATGGCAATGGGGAGGGACCTCCAGCACACATACTGTGATTGGCAGCCTCAGCTCTGTTCCTGTGTGAAGGGAGGGTGTCCCTTCCCTCAAATATCAGCTCTCACCAAGTTCTGAAGCATGTAACTTCAGCTCCCTGCTTTCCAAAGCTGATAGATCCTGTATAAATTCTAGACTTTGGATAGATGTACAGGACAAAAGGCTACACATAAACAGGTACAACTTCAGTGTAACAACTGAATCTAGTCACTTCACTGGGTATATGTAAGGGTTTACAACCACTTTAAAGAATGAAGCAAAATGCCCACTTTGGACCCTAGGCTTGAAGGTCTAGACATTTTCAGTACCTGGATAAACTGCTTAAGCTGCAAGGTGTCACTCTGCTGTTTATCAAGTGGCAGCATATTGTCGGAGAACTCCATCACCATCTGAAAAATAAATAAAAAGGTTACTTGAAATGTCTTGAGAAAAATCTACTCATTGGAAAGCAAGGCTTCTATATGGAGTAGTTAATAACCTTTCCATGCCAATGCTCAAGTAATGATTACATCAAAAACAGCTTTTATTAGATTTTTTTTTTTTTTTTTTTTTTTTTACTGGGAGTGTAAATCTTTCAGTGCAATTCAAAGACACGAAGGTTTAGTTGGGGTTCCACTTTATGGTCCTATGTTTTGTTACAAAAGGGGATCAAAAAAGGTTCCTTTGTTAGACTGCTAAACACTCTTCTCTATACAGAAAAACGTATAAGCAGGAATTTGCCAAAACTGGAGCACACAAAATCTATAACAGCTGTGCATAGTGGCCAATCAGCCTCCATCTTCAACATGTTCATTTAGGCTTTAAAAATTAAAGCCAGAATCTGATTGGATACATGCATAGTTGTTCCAGTCTTTTCCAGTAAATTCCCCTCTTACAGTGCAGTTGTGCAATAAAAAGAAAGGTAATCAAACTGCAATAATTAAGTGCAAATAACGCTGCCATCTAAAGATAATGCAGACAGCGGCTAAACATGAATATACAAACCATCCACTGAAAAGGCCCACCAACAGTGATTTAACATCCTTCCGCCCGCCATATAGTACGACGGGCGCAAGGTGGTTCTCTCATTCTGATAGGACGTCATATGACGTCCTTCCATTCTCACCGCGCATGTGCGACTCAGGGAGCGCGCAGCGATCGCCGGTGCGCTGTGTCCCTCGGACACAGCGGATCACGGAAAGAGCAGAAGATGTTGGCTCAGTCATGTGATCAGCTGTGTCCAATCACAGCTGATCACATGTAAACATGGAATTGCCAGTTATCAGCATTTCTCTCCTCTCAAGCTGTCACGCTGACAGCTCGAGAGGAGAGGAGAGCCGGTAATCGGCTTTCCATGGAGGGGACATGTACATTGAGCATCAGGGCACTGATTATCAGTGTGCCCTGATGAGCAGTGTGGCCCCAGAAGTGCCAGCAGTCAGTGCCCATCAGTGCCAGCAGTCAGTGCCCATCTGAGCCGCCAGTAAGTGCCGCCAGTCAGTGCCATGTATCAGTGCTTCCTTTCAGTGCCCATCAGTGATGCCTGTCACTGCCCATCAGTGCAGCCTCATTAGCGCACATCAGTGGATAAAAATCACTTATTTACAAAATTTTTTAACAAAAACTAAGAAAAAACTTTTTTTTCAAAATTTTCTGTGGTTTAAGAAAAAATAAAAATCCCAGGAGGTGAATACCACCAAAAGAAAGCTCTGTCTGAAATTTTTAATAAAAAATTTCATATGGGTACAGTGTTGCATGACCGTGCAATTGTCATTCAAAGTGCGACAGCGCTGAAAGCTGGAAATTGGCCTGGGCAGGAAGGGGGTATAAGTGCTCTGTAGGCTAGTGGTTAAAGGAAAACTGTCTTTAACCGCTTGCCTACAGGGCACTTATACCCCCTTCCTGCCCAGGCCAATTTCCAGCTCTCAGCGCTGTCACACTTTAAATGACAATTGCACGGTCATGCAACACTGTACCCATATGAAATTTTTATAATTTTTTTGTGACAGATAGAGCTTTATTTTGGTGGTATTTAATCAACTCTGTTTTTTATTTTTTCTTAAACAAACCAAAAAAACACTGAAAATTTTGAAAAAAAAAAATGTCTTCGTTTTTGTTATAAAATTTTGTAAATAAGTGATTTTTCTCCTTCACTGATGTGCGCTAATGAGGCTGCAGTGATGGGCACGGATAAGATTCACTGATGGACACTGATAGGTGGCACTGACAGGTATCACTGATGGGCACTGAAAGGCGGCTCAGATGGGCACTGATGTGGCACTGTTCAGCACTGATGGACACTGACAGGTGGCACTTCTGGGGCCACACTGATCAGGGCACACTGATCATCAGTGCCCTGGTGATCAGTGTACATGTCCTCCGCGGAATGCTGATTACTGGCTCTCCTCTCGAGCTGTCAGCGTGACAGCTCGAGAGGAGAGAAATGCTGATAACTGGCATTTTCTTGTTTGCTGATAACCGGCATTTTCGTGTTTACATGTGATCAGCTGTGATTGGACACAGCTGATCACATGACCAAGCCGACATCTTTGGCTTTTTCTGTGGATCAGTGATCCGCTGTGTCCGAGGGACACAGAGCACTGCCGATCGCCGCACGCTCCCTGAGCTGCGCACGCGCGGTGAGAATGGAAGGACGTCAAAAGATGGCCTATCAGAATGAGAGAACCACCTTGCGCCCGTCATTGGACTATATGGCGGGCAGGAGGTGGTTAAAATAAGTTTGACACTTCTGAAACTGCTAGTTGCCTGGCTATCATTAAAGCCTTCTAGCTTCAATTATTTCCGAGTCGCTGACTTGGAAATAGTATGGAAGTGAATAACTGAGTGTCAACGTACAGTATTTCTTTTGGATCAGTGGCTCATAATTCCATTTAATTATTTTTAATTCTGCAGCAGCTAACATTTCCTTTCATCAGTTTCCTTCTGGCTACAATTGCTAAAGAAAAGATTCTGTACTCTAAAACAGCATCAGGATTAAAATGGTTGTAAAGGCTAAACATATTTACCTTTATGCAGAGGCAGGATAGGGGTCTCAGACACAGAGCTGGCTCGGGAGCAAACATGCACGAGTGCCCCCAGAGAAAGTAGCTTGCGCTGGAGGCACTTGGCAAGGGAGAGGGGCCACAAAGGGGACCAGAAAAGAGGAAGATTGTGCCATTACACAAAAAAAGCAGTTGCAGACTCAAGGCATGTTAGACACGCCCAAAAAAGTGTCATGATGGTACACAGGGTGTCCTTCTGGCCACCCAGTGCACACCATGTTCTGACAGCTGTAGCGGTCAAAAAAAAAAAAAAAAAAAAAAAAAAAAAAAAGCAGTCTGGTAAGCTTTATCAACAACATTGTGACTACAGAAACATACAAAGAAACATGGTTTTATTTTGTATCTATTTATTCATCTAAAGAACAAAGGGATGAACGTCCATCTACAGATGAAGTCAGTTAAAGCAACATGACAAAAGTATTGTTTTTTATTTAATTAAATGTAACCTTGTTTAATCTCTAATTAGCCCATAGTTTACTCTAATCAGCCCTAATTAACTCATTCTCCTCCAATTATTTTCTTGATGATTTTATTTTGTCCTTTTTTGTTTTTGTTTAGTAAATATTTGTTAAAGGTGTACAAATATTAACAATTTCACATTTAAAAAAAAAAAAAAAAAAAAAAAAAAAAAAAATTGAGAAAAGAAAACCCAAAATATTCATTTGTAAATAACTGCAATGCTTTGTACCAGAATCATAATTTTAGTGTAATTTTAAACAGAACAAATTACAGAATAAAATGAACACTTATGTGCAGTAACGCTATATATTTTTAAACTAACACTGCTCAAAGGAAAAAAAAAAGAGTGTGTTTTGCTACATTTATTTAAGGATTGCAAAGAAAAAAAAAAATCATTGTTGCAAGAAAGTATTCATGAAAAGAAAGCCTTGTTTGTCCTTAACCACTTCCCGCCCGGCCTATAGTAAAATGACGGCCTGGCGAGACTCTCGTCGATTTAGGAGGGCATCAAATGACATCGTTCCCAGATCACGCCTTACGTGTGCCTGCAGGGCCGCGCTGCATCGAGATCTGTCACCGGCTGTGTACCTCGGACATGGCCGATGACAGATCTGTGTACCGGCCCCATTGCCAGTACCAAGTGACCTGCTGTGACCAATCACAAGTCACATGACAGTTGTAAACAATAGATAGCTATACAACTGTGTCTAGCTGGGAATGGTCACAGTGATCACACGCACAGGCTGGGCCAACAACAACCCATTTGTGTCATGTGATTAGCCGTGGCCAATCACAACAAAAAAACCTGAATTAATCTATTTCATTTTGTTAAATGCTTGCTTATATCAAAGAAATTCTTTGCTATAAGCAAATTGTGTAATAAAAAAACCCAAAAAAAACCAAATACTGATCACGTCCCCAAAGTAGTGCATGTTACTATGGTGACATTATACTACTTTGGTCATAGTGCAATATGAAAAGAAATGTAATAAAAAGCTCCAGTTGTGTGAACAGAATGCTAAAAATTTAATTTGGGGACAGTGTTGCATGACCGCACAATTGTCATTCAAAGTGTGAACGCGGAAATTTGGCCTGGGCAGGAAGAGGGTAAAAGTGCTGGTATTGAAGTGGTTAAACAATATATGTATTACATGGACCCTCCACTTCTCAGTACCCCGAAGGCTCTTCTGGCTCCCCGTCTGCCGCATGCCCCCACAGCAAGCAGCTTGCTATGGGGGTGACCCACTGCTCCATGTGCCCATTCACACACGGAGCTGCGGCTTGGCTTCACCCCCGTTCTCTCACCATTGGCTGGGGTTGACAGCAGTGAGAGCCAATGGCTCCTGCTTGGAGTCTCAGCCAATGAGGAGGCAGACCCCCGAGGCAGCTGAGCCCATCATTCACATCGCTGGATTGCGATGAGGCACAGGTAGGTAATGTGGGGCTGGGGACACTGCTGCACACAGAAGGTGTTTTATCTTCATGCATAGAATGCATGAAAATAAAAAAAACCTTCAGCCTTTACAACCACTTTAATGACGTTATCATGGAATAAACAGGCCCATAGCAGAAATGTAAAAATTGCTCTGGTCCATAGGGGTTGAACAGGTGTGAGGCAAAAAACCCCACACAACCTTTAGAACCACTTTAACCGCCCTATAGCAGAAATACTGCTACAGGGCGGCACGGGTGCACAAAATCACTAATATATAAAATATATACACACACATATACACTGCATTTCCGGGTAGGAGGCACGCGCCCTGCCCACATCGGTATTAAAGGCTGTCAATCACCGAGTTCCCGCCGGTGATTAATCGCCGGCGCCTGGTGACTGCTGAGGAAACAGTTCTCCCTTTCGGCTCATACACACTGCTGTGCATGGCTGTGCACAGCAAGCCATGCAAAGCAGTGTGATTACAGTGAAGCACACGGATACAGGACATAGTGAAGAAGCACACAGTTAACCCTTTGACCACCCCTCATGTTAACCCCTTCCTGCCCAGTGCCATTAGTACAGTATCAGTGCTTTTTTTTTTTTAGCACCGATCACTGTATTGGTGTCACTTGGGATGTCAATGACACCAAGCCAGTTCCCCCCAGTGTCAGAATGCCCGCCGCAGTCCTGTTATAAGTCACTGGATCGCTGCCATTACTATTAAAAAATACTATATAATATATATATATATATATATATATATATATATATATATATATATATACACACACACACACATTTGTGAATGCTATAAACTTCCACATAAACCAATTTACACGTATTGGGATTTTTTTTTTTTTTTTTTTTTAGCAGAATATGTTTTGGCTTAAATTTGATTTAAAAAAATTTTTTTGCTTGACATGTCTAATAGCAAAGTCAAAAATATTGGGTTTTTTTTCTCAAAATTGACATTTTTTTTTGTTAACCACTTGCCGCCCTGCCACTAATACGGCGGCACGGGCAAGCAAAACCACATTTTAAAACATGTGTTTTGTAAATAGGTAGGGGGCGTGCGTGAGGCACTCCGCCGCCCTACCTGTCCCGCCGATCACAGCCGCGGGTGTCAGTCACCAGGTCACAGCCGGTCCTTACCGGCTATCTCCCGGCGATCGGCGGCAACCAGTGACAGAGAGCACAGCTGCAGAAGCTGTGCTTTCTGTCACTTCCCTGACAGCTCGAGAACAAGCTGATCAGGACAGAAGAGATTCTCTCTCTCGATCAGCCTGTCCAGCACACCCCCCCTCACTCAGATAACCCTTCCCTGCAAAATAAACTTAACCCCTTCCTCCCCAGTGCCATTAGTACAGTGTCAGTGTTTTTTTTTTTTGCACTGATCATTGTATTGGTGTCACTGGGGATGTCAGTGATCCCAAATCAGTACCCCCCCCAGTGTCAGAATGTCCGCCGCAGTCCCGCCATAAGTCCCTGATCGTTGCCATTATTAGTATAAAAAAAAAAAAAAAAAAAAAAAAAAAAAAAAAAAAACTAAAAATCCCAGTATCTTTCCTGCCATTTGTAAAAACTATAACTTTCACGTAAACCAATTAATTTACACGTATTGGTTTTTTTTTTTTTTTAAAAGACATGTCGCAGAATGCA